GGGAGGCGGCGGAGCCTCTGCCATTCTTCGCCTTCCCTGCGGGGGTGCGGAGAGGGGGCCCATCAGGGTAGATGGAGGTGTGTGGAGACTGTTCAATGGGGCTGGCTGCACTGGAGAAAGGAGCGTTCGGCTTGGGTGGCCAGGAGAAGGATTGTTTGCTCCCTCAGGGTACAGAAACTTGCCCTGCCTGCGCCTGCTTTTCATCCCCCTTTCTTATTACTCATTTCCTGCCCCAGAGGGGCCTAGGTTCCTAAGTAAGCTGAGTTACAGAATCTTATATTCCATCTATATCCTGGTACCCTAGCCCCTCCTGCTGGTTTCCAAGATTCTGGCCCCAAAAGATAAGGACATGAGTAGGAGTGGTAGGGTGGTGGTTGAGGGCTGGGTTCTACCTGAGCTTGGGTGAAACAGAAGGTTGGGAGCCCCTATTTGCCAAATGTTAGGGGACACGGCCGACCTTCCTTCGTACTCCCAGGCTGTCTCCACACCCGCCACAGTAGAGGGACACAGTGGGGCATCTGGGCTTTGTGGCTAGAGAGAACTCACGCGGTGAGCAGTCCGCAAGCTCGGTGGCAGCGTCGACGGTGCTCAGCCCACGGCGAGAAGCTGCAGCGCTCGGGTCGGGGCCCCTCCTGTCGCAGCAGCTGTTCAATGAGTGTAGGGGCTGCCACATACACCGAGCGCACCTTCCCGAAGCTCGCCAACCACACTGGCCCAAAGCGTGTGGCCCCCAGCACCTGGGAGAATGGGCGCAGTGGACACTGGAGACCCGGACAAAGGACTCCCAGCTTGGGCTTTGAAAGAGGGAGCCTCTGCTCGCAAGCTCCCAGCTAGTGCATGGCCCTGATGCTGCAAATCCCTCCTCCTCTTTCCCCCACTTTCCATTTCTAGGAAGTTTATGTGTTATGCACAAAACGGAGTAACTGAGTAAAGCAGACATTCAAGACTGCTCTTTGGTCACCTGGGCTGAACCAGGTGGAGAAATCCCTAAAGGTTCCTCATGTGGACTATGCATCTCAAGACAAGCCGCCACTGAAATGTATAGGAGGGCATGTAGCTTTAAGCACAACGTACTGAATACACTGGGAAGGAACTGTGCATTTCTGCCTCCCGCGCGCTTGTCCTGGACCCACCTGGCTTCCAGACTTCTGCACAGTGAGGTGCTTTTCGAGCACACTCCTCTGCTCGGTGTGGGGATGGACTCCGTACCCTTGAAGCCACAGCCCCGATCCCAGTTTTTTTTTCCATAATTCATGGGCATTCATTCCTACTGGCCCTCTCTCCTCCGTTCTGCACTAATTTGTTTCCCCAGCATTCAGTCCCATGAACAGCGGTCTCCCTCTACCTGCAGCTCGTGTAGCCGTGACAGCCCCCCTTTGCAGAAAAGTTCAGCAAGGAAGCTGGGTGTGGAGGGTCCTGGGATGTCTGCCAAGCTTCGTGGCGCTGAGTCGGAGCCTCTGGAGCCCAGTGAGGCGCCCAGCTCAAGAGCACAGTGGACGCGATGGAACACCCTGGAGGCGAGCTTGAGGGTCTGGGTCATGGTTTGGTTCAGGGAAATACAGCAGTCCTGAGCATCTTGCCTGCGCCCCTATTTAACCCTTGGGCGAGACAGTGGCGACGCCCCCTCTCTAGGCTATTCATCCAATCCTCTCTCCTGAGTGTTCTGTGCTGGGGATTAGCACCCAGGAACAGTAGGCGGGGCTGGGGCTGCCTTTGCAGCTCCTTTGGGTCTCATGTTGCAATGACCCTCTAGGGAAGGGGAGGGCTGCCTCAGTTTCTCCTCCTGGGCCAGTGCCTTAGGCCAGCAGCCTAAAGATCTCTTCCTGAGAAAGGCTATTTAGTGAGACTTAGGTGACCAAGATAGTCTGTCCCTGTTATTGCCATCACTTCCCCGGGAGCCAGGCCCCTAGGGCCCATCCTCAGGAATTCCTCATTCTCCAGCACCTCCTAGAAGGGAAGCCTGGAAGAGCCACAGCTGTAGCCATTCCCATATTCTTGGCTCATCAGGCAGCACCTTAGCTGCATGTGAGCAGAATTTTCAGGCATTACCAAACCTCCCTCTCTCCCTGTACCGGACACTGAACAGAAGGCAGGTGAGTTAATCAGAATGGCTCCTGGAGCCTTCATCTTTGTTCTTTGTGTGTGTGTGTGGTGGGGGGGAGGAGGGTCTTTTAGGTCAACAAACTCTGTCCTAGCCTTGGGAATTTGGGGTTTGAGGAGCAAAAATGAAGGAACTTTTTGCAAATTAGAAAAGTTCAGAGATTTCTCTGGATTGTTGGACAGACAAAGGGTTGAGGGCTCTGAATCTCCAGCTGACTCCGTCTCCTTTGGGGGGCTTTCTAGTCAGCAGCCCCTTTCCATTTTTAGCCTCAGAATCCTCCCCAGTTTGGCTCTCTGATCCTCACTCCCTCTCCCCATCCCCATCAGACTGTGCCACCTTTGAAGTTCTGGAATGGAAGGTAAACACGAAAAAGGAGAGGGTCTCCACCCCCACACCCTCTCTGAGACGCACAGATTCCCCAGGTCAAGTCTTAGGAAAAGAGGGAATGGGAGGAGGCACAGGATACACTCTACCCTTCCCTGAGAAATAGCAGCATGGGCATGTGCATATGTATAGGTTATCCCCAGGACTACAAAGTACACACAAGTGGATAGGTGACTGGAGCCTTGCAGGCAGTTTAGATGGACAGTGGAGAACTGCATTCCTCACTCCAGCTGAGTAGAGATCCTAGAGGGAGATGGGAATATTAAGGGAGAGCAAGACCCCACACCCTCTCAAATATCCCTTCTGGTCCAAGGTCTTCAGGCCTTCTCAATCAGCTTCTTCTGCTTTGTGCTGGCAGTGGAGGGGCAGGAAGGTGAGAAGTGACAGGGGTAGTTGTGAAAACCAGGATTCTGTGCTGGGTAGTTCTCCAACTTCTTTGAGATTGTTGCCTCTCAGCCCCAGCAGTCTCAGCTGAAAAGGTTCAGAGAGGTTGATCTTTCTGGTCCCTGAAAAATGGAGCCCAGCTAAGGTAAGGTAAGCAGTCAGTGACCAGGAGGGGAGGGATTGGGGGTCATTGCCTGGAGGGCGGGATCTTGTATTCTTCGGAAGATGGCTGGGAAATTCTTCCCTCCATTGCGTAGAACTTTCTTTCCTTCCTCGGTTGAGGTGCCCAGATGTCCCACAATGGGGTCTTCACTCTGAGAAAAGGGTTCAATAAGTCCTTGCCCACCCTTCAGATTGCCCATGGCCCTGAGACTCCCATCCATCCTATTGCACTGAGCTGGGTTCAGAGAATACAGAACCACTCTGGAAAGGGCCTGCATCTTCACAATTTCCCTTAGACTCTCAACTCACCAGCTCCTCCAGAGGCACACGCTCAAATAGTGGGTGTCCTTCGAAATGGGTGCACATCCAGTTGTGTAGCTCTAGCACATCAGTTATGGTATATACCAGCCCCTGCATAGGCAAAATTACTCTAGACAGGGGACTGCATATAACTGAACAGCGAGATGATAAGATGCATCCCCCACTGAATTCTTAGTGAAGGTCCCTGAATAGGCCATTCGCCCCATCCTCCTTTCCATTCCCAACTCACCCCAACTCTCAGCACGTAGGCATATTCTGCCAGCAGTGTAGGACTGATGATTCGCCACTTGTGCTTCGTCCGCTTGAAATGTGGGTCAGGGAAGAGGAAGAACATCTTTGTCAGCTGTGAGATAGACACACATGGACTGGTTGTAAGAGCCTGGCCTCCATGTCCCATCTGCCTACCAGCCTAACCCACCAGGGCCCCTCCCCACCTGGCCCTTGCGGAAGAAGTTAGGAAGGTGTTTCATGGCATTGCTACGGAGACAGGCGATGTTCTGGAAGCCGCCTCCAGGAGCTGCTCGTAGTGCCCGAATTCGGTCTTGCACATAGTCTGAGACCTTCACCCGGATCTCTAGACCCAGAATCAGCGTGTCTGGGAACAGCGGTGACAGTTCCACTGGATACAAAAATAGGAATGGAATTATTAAAGTCATACTTGCAGGAATTGCCAAGGGGTCCACCTAGGAAAGGAAGACTCAATCTGCAACTACCAAAATCAGAAATGGCAAGCATGGAGAGATAGAGACCTATATAGATGGTTCAGTGCTGAAGAAGAGGGCTGGGGGAGATCCAAAAACTGTCACCAGGACTGGAAATGGTAGGGCCTGGGAATACGTGTACAACTAAAGTGCTTTAGTGTTTTTAGACATTTTCACATTCAATCTTCTTAACACTCTGTAGTAAATCGTGACAATGAGGAAAACTGAGGGTCAGAAATGCCCAAGGTCATAGAGCTAAGAAGAGACAGAACCAGGACTTGAACCAAAGTTTTCTGCCACCAAGTACCATGCTCTTCCTCTTGTCATGCTGTTATCTCTATGGGAAAATTTAAAAATAGAGAAATGGCCTAGCAAGCCTGGCTAGGGCAATATAGACAATATAAGAACTCAAAAACAGGGGAGTGGAGCAAAAGAAATATGTTCTGGTGAGGAAGGGGTGGGAGGGAGGGAGTGGTAGAATCCCAGAGACAGTTCAGGATCACTGGCCACAGTGGCTAATCTCTGACGCTTGTGCTGACCAGCTCACTGACCCGGCACCTGGCAGGTGAAATGGCTCACGCAGTGACTGGGGCCAGGTGCGAGGCCAGACAGGGCAACCCAAGTGCTAAGAGGCATCTAAGGCAGTCTCCTCCCTTCTCCAGGGCAAAGGCCACAGACCCAGAGTAGAGAGAAGGTGGAGGTTCTCCACACTGATGTCACAGCACCAGTGTCTGGTCCGAAGGGGAAAGGCCAGTTATGGCCCCCACTAAACCTGCTGAGACAGCAGAACCTAGATATTGCCTCTCCTTGCCCCAGAGAAAGGGCCAGAAGAATGTTACCTAACAGGCCACCATAGCCACAGCCTATGTCTGCAAACTCCACTTGGGCTTGAGCTCTCTTTTCTTTCTTATCCTTTGGGTCATCATGGCTCTGATTTTGAGCGAAGAACTCTGGATATAACTCAGACCAATCCATCTCCTCTGGCTTCACAGGACTATTGGAGAGAAGACGTGAGAAACATGAGAAGGCTGGTCATACCATTGCAAAAGTGGTACTACGTGTGTGGGTGGATGGGTAAGGGTGGAAAGCAGATGGGAGGGTTTCCCAAAAATTCTGCAACAGTGGGCCCTTTGGCCTCTAGGAGACACAATGGAAACCCCCTTAACCCCCAGTGTGAATCATAGGCCCATCAGGAGTCCCATGATTGCTGATCTGCCTATCTTCATTTCTAGGGGTTGATGTGACTCTCCTCTATGGGGCACAAGTTCCCCTTTCCCCAGAGATTGGCTGCCTGAGGCACTGGGACCTTCCTCTGTTTATGTGCTCTGTGCGAAGAGGGAGTAAAGTGAGGGCGGGACTGGGTGTACGTTTGTCTTTTTATGAAATCTGACAAAGGAAACCGAAAGATGGAAAAGGCATTCTGCTATCATCACTCTAGTCTTTAACAATTTTTTCCTCCCAAACTTGCACCGCTACCCAGACTTTGGGCAGAACGCCACGCCCCCTTCCAACCAGCCAACTCCCGCTAACTCACCCCCCAAACTGACGTCACCCAGCAGATCCTCCCGGGTTTATCTTTAACCCTGCCTGCAGTCCCAGCACAATCGCTCTCCGCGGCTGCTCCGGGCTGTCCTGAGAATGCCGCTCTCCTATCTTCCCCCTGCCCGGCTCACTCACTAGCGCAGCGTATGGTCCGCCATGGGGTTGGAGTGAGCACGTTGCCGATAGTAACGCTTCTGCGGCTGCGGAGCCTCGGCTCCTGCGGGGGCTCCCGCCATGATCCCCAGCCCCGCGTTTCTCCACCGAACCCACGTGGAGACCAAGGGCCGCGGCGCAGGTTAATGACGCAGCCAGGCACTTTGTGAGCAGACCCCGCCCCTTAAAGACCCAAGACTGACTTCACCTGGGCTGGGCGGGGAGGACGGGAGGGGCGAGCACTGGGGTAGCCTTCGCACCTCAAGTCTGTAACTGGGCTAGCAAGGCCAGAGCCGGCACCCAGCCTCTTTCCTTAGCCTGTGTGGTGGGCCTGTTCTGGGTTACCATCCTGGTTGCAGGCACCCATACACCCCGCAGGTAAGAGGGGTCTGGGGACCCCACTTCCTATGGTAGAGATAGAATCAATCCTCGCTCCGCTCTCCTTTCTCCCAGTCTCCGACCAGTCTGCCGGGTCTAACCCGCACGCGCGAGTCCCATCGGGTATACGCTGGAGAACGGCAGGAGGGGCAGCTCCTCATTCCACCTCCAGGAAGTCAAACTGGAGGAAGGAGGGCAAACTCGGGGAGGCGGGGCTCGGTGCCACGGGGCAGCCGAGAAGGCCGCCGTCCCCCAACCCCCATCCCGCTCCAGATCCAGGATCCCAGCGCTGGCCGGATGGCCGACCTCCGTCCAGATCCTGCATGCGAGCCGGAATCGGTGTTCCCACGGGAGGTTGGGCTTTTCGCCGACTCTTATTCTGAGAAGAGCCGGTTCTGTTTCTGTGGGCACGTGCTGAGCATCACGCAGAACTTCGGGTCCCGCCTCGGGGTGGCAGCGCGCGTGTGGGAAGCGGTGAGAAGTGGGGGAGTCTGGGCGAGAGTCCGCGGGACGTCCAGACCCCGGACTCTCTTCCCATATGGAGCCATCCCCACGACAGTCTTTTTTCTTCTTTTTTCTCCTATAGGCTCTGAGCCTGTGCAACTATTTCGAAAGTCAAAATGTAGATTTCCGAGGCAAGAAAGTGATCGAACTGGGCGCGGGGACGGGCATCGTGGGGATCTTGGCAGCGCTGCAGGGTGCGTGAGCTTTGCGGCGGAACGGGCTTGGGGGGACGGGGTTATTGAGAAATTGTCACTTCCTGGATTCTTGGGACCAGTTCAGTAGCTTCTTTTTAATAAACTTTTTTTTTTTTTTTTTGCCTACTTTTGTGTGCCAGGCAGCAATCATAGGTTGTCAAAGCACCCAAGGTGGTTGATTTGGGCGCAGGATATAAAAACCAGGCAGGTCTTAGCAGAAGGAATTTTTTTCTACCATTTTCCTTTTTGTGATTTCATGGACAATGTTTTGCTTTGGACATGGTCTTCTGTCAAGATGTATATTTGGGGACACCTTGTAGGGGATGTAATCTGTTGTTTTAAACCTCATGAGTGCTTTATTAATTTGTTATTAATATATTTTAGATAGTTTAGATTTTGATTGCTTGGGAGAAAACTTAAGAGTTTCCGAGGGTTAGGGTGTGTTTTGTGGGAAGTAGGGTTGAAATTAGGCACCACAGACTTGGGAAATGAAAGGTAAGGAAAACTTTGCTTCACTTTTATCAAGAACCAAAAACTGCAAAGGAAACAGTTCCTTGATTTATAATCGTAATGGCAGGCAAAACCTCATACTAAAAATACTTATTTAAAAACACTTATGATGTCGTCTCCCCAGAAATGCAAATTAACATGTGCTTGTTCAGAGGGACACAACTAGGTCACATTCAGAGAAGTCTTCTCAGAAGCACGCATTCATTCTACTGATTCAACCAACATATATTTGGAGTCCCCTATATGCCAAGAAACATGCTAGGTATTAGAATACAATGAGTGAGACAGATTTCCTCTCCCCAAGGAGCTCATGGTCTAGGGGAGAAGACTGGAAAGATGTTACTGTACCTCTTCTCACCATCTGTAGTTCAGACCACTGCCATCTCTTCCCTGAATTTTCACTAGCATCTTCAAGATTCCCCATGGGGAAGTTTGGCATGCCTACATTCGAGTTTGTGACCTTCTCCTACCTTCCCCATCTCAGCTTCCTCATTTCAGTGAATCAAACCACCATCTGCCCAGTGAGAAAACTAGACATCACCTGTGACAAGTCCCTTTTTCTCATCCCCATATCCATTATTCAAGTCCTATTGGTTTTGTCTCCTAAAAATCCTTTAAATCTCATGTTTTTCCATTGACACTGACAGCTCCCCAGTCTATGCCACCACCATTACTTGCCTAGACTGCTATAGCTAGTCAAACTGGTCTTTCTGCTTTAATTTCTTGTCCCCACCTAGACCTCTGCCCCCACCTAGCAGGTAGAGTGATCTTTTCAGAATGCAACTGTAATCACTTCCCATCCCCATCTTTCGGTAGCTTCTTGTTGCTTTCAGGATAGAACCATCACGTTTTAGCATGGCCTCCAAGACCCTGCCTCCCTCTAGCTTCTTTCTGTGCCCTCCCTCCTTTTCCTATATGCCTTGTGCTACCTATTGCTCTTCTGTCAGTTCTTCAAGCCTGTCTTGATGTTCCCTTCCTTGGAGCCTTCATACAGGCTGTACTCTGTGTCTGAAATCCTTGTACTATCTGGTTAATACATATGCATCCTTTAGCATTCAGCTCAAACATCACTTCCAAGGGAAGGCCTCCTTGATACTGCCACACACCCAGGCTAGCTTAGGCCCTCCTATTATATACACAACTCAGCTGACTGGTTTCATTTTAAATTTGTTACTAACCTCGGGTCCATCCCTAAGTACTGCCCAGCTAGCCTATTATATCTCCCCATTCACTTATTCTGTTCTTCTAAACATCTAATTCTTGCCTTCTTACTCTTCAAACCTCCAAATGCCTCCTCCTCTATCTTCACCCTCAGCTGATGACTTTGTTTCTTATCTCTTCCAATTATTTCTATTTTCTCATATAAAACGTCCACATGTTCCTACCACAATGTATACTCACCTAATTGCATCTGGATCTGTATGTGCTGCCTTCTCTCTTGTTAACCATGGTTGAATGCACTGTGCTGCCAGCTAAAGTCAAGCCCTCCACTTGTCAGGAGCCACCAAACCTTCTCATCTACTCAAAGATATTGTTCCAGTAAATATCTCCCCTTCCCCATCTCTCCTGCATTATCAATTTTTCCTTCTCTCTGGATCACTCTCTGTATGTGTGTATGGTGTATATAATGCACATAAATACACTGTAATTTCTCCTCTCTCAGAAAAAACTCTAGTTTCTGCATCCCTCCAGGTACTACCCTATTTTCTCTCCTATACAACAAAACTCAAAAGCCTTAATATTTACTGTCTTAGTGCCTCTCTTCCTATTCTTTACTCAATCCATTCTAATCAAAATCCCCCACTCCCCAACACACACCATGCCCCTTCCACCCCAGTTGCTCTAGTCAAGGCTATTGTTCCAAAAAGTTGAGTTTCATTCCCAACTCCACATTGTTAAACACATGGGTCAATTATGAACCTGTCTTGTCTGGCAGTGTTTGACATTCCCTTCTTGCAACATTGATTTTGGTTTCCAGGGCTCCACACCTCAGGTTTCTGCCCACCTCTGGGGCACTCTTTTCCATTCTCCTTTCTTGGTTCCTTATCATCTTCACAACTGAAAATTTGAGTGCCCCAGGACTCAGGAGCAGTGCTGTGCATGAGCCCTTCTGTTTTCTGTCTACACTCACTCCCAAGCAATCCCATCACCTCATGGATTTAAATGCCATTTCTATGCTGATGACTCTCTGATGGCCCATTTCTACCTCCAGACTTGTTTGTGTAACCTCCTGCTACTCAGTATCTTCTTGCACTTGTCTGATGGACATCTCAAACTTAATGTGACCAGAAATGAACTCATAATCTTCCTGTCCAATGCTGCTCCTCCTGCAGCCTTCTCTATCTAAATAAAAGGCAATTCGGTCTTCTAGTTGGTCATGCCAAACATCTTGGTGACAGCCTCAACCCTCTTTCTCTCTCTAATATATCATATCTAATCTGTCAGCAAATCCTATTGAGTCTACCTTCAAAATATATTCAGGATCTGACCACTTCTTAGACATTGCTACTGCTTTGGTTCAAACTACCATCATCTCTCACGGGGGTCATTGTAGCCACCTCCTAACTGGTCTCTTTGCTTCAGACCTTGCCCCTCTACAGTCTTTTCTCATCCCAGCAGTCAGAAGAATCCTTGAAAAGCATAAGTTAGTGTATGTCATTCTTCCATTTAAAATTTTCTAATAGCTTCCTATTTCACCCAACTAAAAGCCAAATTTCTCAGTCTCCTGACAAAGCCCTGGTTAGGATCTGGCCCCTATTCTCATTTCTCTCACTCTGCTCCAGCCACTGGGCTTCCTGCTATTTCTCAGGCCTGCCAGGCACACTCCTGCCTCAAGGTCTTTGCACTTACTGGTCCCTCATTGGGTATGTTTTAGCATGAAAGATCCACATGGTTTGTTCCATCACTTCCTTCAGGTATTTGACCAAACATATCTGCTTAGTAAGGCTTTCCCTAACCATCCGATTTAAAATTACATTCCCTGCCTGTCCCTCAAGCGGTTCTTATCCTCTTTCTCTGTTGATGCTTCACCAGAGTAATTTATTACCCCTGACATACAGTGTATTTTAGATGTTTTGTTTGTTTTCTGTTTCTTACCACTAGACTGTAAGCTCCATGAGCAGAGGAATTCTCATCTAATTGATTTACTACTGTATTCTCAGCACCTGGCATTGAGGCATATAATAAATATTAATGAATGAATGAATTTTTTTTAAAATTTATTATTGTTTATGCCTACAGAACCTATTCTTCCTAGGTGGTCTCCCATCCAAGTACTAACCAGGCCCAACGCTGCTTAGCTTTCACGATCAGACATCAGGCTTGTTCAGGGTGGCATGGCCATAGACAATGGACCATGGCTCCACTGCGACACGAACCCAAGACCTTCTACGTGTTAAGCAGACGTGCTAACCACTACACTATGGAACCACATTCATGAATGAATTTTTAGTACATCCTGTTTCTATAATGGTCATCATGATTATGATTAAAGAGTTTTGTAGTACCTAGTGTGTCTCTACCTCTAGAATAAAACTCAAGGAAGGCTGAGGTTTTGTCTTGCTCACCACTATATCTCCAGAACTTAGTTGGTGCTCAGTACATGTATTTATGACAGGAATGAGATGCTAATCTGATCATCTTCACTCCTTACTTCTCCCTTTAAAACCTATTGCCCTCAAAATCAAGCCTGAATCTCCTTAGCATGTTATAATCATTTTTCTCTTTATTCTCATGACACTTTTCTCTTTCCATCTATATTCTCTAAGATCCAGCCTTCCTTGAATATGCCATATTTTCTCACCACCAGACAGTTGTACTCTGTTCTCTGCTTGGAAAACTCCACCTGACTAACTCCTACTTGTCCTTTTTAAGGCTCACTGAGGTCATGTCATATGGTAAGTTTTCCAGCACCCTGAAGGTTGGTCTGTGTCAGTAGGGGGCAGTTTAGTGCTGCCTAGGCTTCTGCTGACATGTGATTATTGTGTTTCGGGCAGAGAGGTTGAAGATTAGCTCAGAGAGAATGTTGATGTTGTAGAATGTAGAGTAATGAGAATGACAGTGCGTAAAATGGAGGTTAGGGCAACTAAAAACCAAAGTATGGACTTTGGGCTATCAAGACATTTTCTTCTAGGCCCTGAGGTATCTGGATCTTCTGGGCAGGAGCCAAGCAAGACCTGGGTTGGTCCCTCTGACTTGCATTTCTCTTCCTTCCTCTTTCTCAGGGGGGGATGTTACCATCACTGACCTACCCCTGGCCTTAGAACAGATCCAGGGCAACGTCCAGGCCAATGTGCCAGCTGGAGGCCGGGCCCAGGTCCGCGCCTTGTCCTGGGGGATTGACCAGCATGTCTTCCCTGGGGACTATGACTTGGTGCTGGGGGCTGACATCGTGTACCAGGAGCCTACCTTCCCACTGCTGCTGGGGACCCTCCAACACCTGTGCGGTCCTCATGGCACCATCTATCTGGCCTCCAAGATGAGAGAGGAACACCGGACAGAGAGCTTCTTTCAGCATCTCCTGCCCCAGCATTTCCAACTGGAGCTGGCCCAGCGAGATGAGGATGAGAATGTCAACATCTATAGGGCCAGGTACAGGGAACCAAGACCTGCTTGATGTCACCCTTCTGCTCTTCTGAACTCCTTGTTCTAATGAAGGAACTGCCATATCTCCAAAGCCAGAAACTTAAGGACCAAAAAGGAGGGATTTCTCTTGCCTCTTTCTTCCTTTCCTCTTAGTTCCCTTAGATATGCTTGCACAGGTGCAAGGAGGTGCCTGCTTGCTAGGAAACCTAGAGCCCTGGCAATACTGGATTAGAGCACAAAGGAAGTTCTCAGCTTCTATTCTCAGCAGAGGAAGATGGGAGGGTATCCAGGGTTTTTAGGGGAAGGGGAGGTAAATGGGATGTGAGAGCAGTGGCTGCAGAGAGACTGTATTTGATCACTTCTAGTCCTGAGGTTGTCTTTTTGATACAGAATAGATTTTTATTTTTATTTTTTTTGCCAGATTCTACTGGATTTTTTTTTAAAGGGAAAGAAACATGAGCATTAAAGATCTCTTCTGCATCTAAAGAACTCAGGCTTTTGTTGAGGGGCTGGGAAGGAAAGAGCCTCAGACTACCCACTTCAAGCTTTTAGTGATAGTTGGGTAGGACCATGGCTGTAACTGGATCAAATCCTTCCAGGTCCAAAACTGGGGATAGGTAAAGCTGGGGATAGGTAGCAGAGCTGTCCTTGGACTGTAGCTTCTTCATCCTTTTTGGAGTTGGGGCCCTGATCACTAAGAACTAGATTCTTCTTTTTATTTTTCTTTAGGCTTCCAATCCCTGTCGGTCCTTCTTTCCTAATGTGTTATGGCTTCACCTCTTTTCTCACTGTAGTATCTCTGGTTGGGGCTCTCCTTACTTACACCCTGGGCCACATAGCACCTCCTCTGGACTCCTGGCCGGCAAGTCTTGTGACCTTCCAAAATCAGTTCTGATTAGCTTTTGCCACTGCCTCCAGAAGCAAGAATAAGCTCCTCTGCTTAGTACTCAGTCTATCCCATGTGATCTCAAATTACCCTATACATCATTTCCTACTGGTTTCCAACATGTATTGCATCCTTGAGCCAAATTACAGAAGGTCTATTCTTTGTTCCTTAAATCCATACCAAGATTTCCTGATTTATTGCTTCATTCTTTTTGATGATTTCCTCTCTGGAAGAGCTATTTCTACTTGTTAAAATCTTCATTACTCTTAGCCTGTTTCCTGAAAAAAGCTTTTTCTGAGCCTCCTATTTGGATATAATTTCTTTCTTTCTTGACACCCTTTAACTGTGTTCATCTTATGGGACTTAACTTGTGTGGTCATGTCTGCTCCCTATTTTCTCACTGTTAGATTACCTTGGAGGGTAGGGCTGTTATTTACTTATCTCTAATTCCCTGAAGCCTAGCACAATTACTGGTGCGCCATAGGTGTTCAGCAAATATTTTGCTCATTCAGCAAATATTTATTGGGTTTATTGAAGGACTGCACCCCTACCTCCCTAGGATAGCTCTGGCAATTTTCTGAACCAACACCTACCTCACGATTTTGTCTTGAGTCATAAGTGGATAATGATTATGAAAGCGCATTGGAAATAAACGAAGTATTACTGCATTTCTTGTATTGTTATTTTGTGATGACTTTGTCTCATGGTTTTCTGTTTTAACTATGGGGGGTAATTCTGTCCTGAAATGTCTCGGTAAGCCAAATAGGGAAGGCGAGTGTGCTCCCTCCGACCAGCAGGTGGCCCTATCCTTGTTTGGAGCGTTTAAGTGGAGAAGTTTGGCCCTGCCGCCACGCCGTAGGCCTGTGGCCTCACCAGTGCGCCTGCCGGCTACCGTGTGTGGCAGTCTGGGTGATGTCGCTGCTGCGGTCGCTGCGCCTCTACCTGGCCGCGCAGACCAGGAACTGCCCGGTGAGGGGTCTTGGTCCTGACACCGTCCTGCCCTCTTTGCAGGTCTCCCGTGCGGCCCCTACCTTCGATCCCTTTTCTACTCCATGCCACCTTTCCCCCACCTCATTGTTCCTTCGCGGTCCAACCCCCGCACGCTGCCTTTCCCCCACCCGCCGGGACCCACCCTCTCCTAAGGTCGGCTCCAGGCCGACGTGCTTTTCACCTCTGGAGCGCCTCGCTGCGTTTTGATTAGTTTCCCTTTCTTGTTATTCCCTCCAGGCGGGGGCCCTTCTGTTTCAGTCGCTTCAGCCATGGCACACATTTCACGCTGGGCCCTGGCTGTCCTCCTCAGTCTCCAGCAAGGAGCTCCTCATGAAGCTGCGGCGAAAAACGGGCTATTCCTTTGTAAACTGCAAGAAAGCTCTGGAGACTTGTGGCGGGGATCTCAAACAGGTGTGAGGGAGGAGGGAGGAGGGGGCACGGGGGCAGGTACTAGAGTCCCATCTCAGTCTCTTAGGGGAGATCTCGCCAGGGAGCATAGAAGTCAGACCTGCTGTCGCGTTGACTTACAACGGCAGACCTCTAGATAGGAGTCTCACGTAAATGACACTCTCGGCCTTTGACTGTCTTATTTAGGAGCATTTGACTTAGGATCCGGGGTTAACAAACCCAATTCCATGCAACACTGTTAGGCTGTTTCCTGCTGTTTAGAGCTGAAAGGGCTTGTGTGAGCTCTGGAGTCAGATGGACCAGGACTTAAATCGCGGTGCCTTTATACTAACCCCTGTGACCTTGTATTGTAGGACTGGGAGGCGAATTCCCCAGAGTGAGGATTCAAGTCTGACACACAGAGGGTTCTTGACTGCACACAGGAAAGAATTCAAGCACAGGCCAGGGAAACAAAAGGAAAGTTTATTAGAGAAGGAATAAAGTTCCACAGACAGACCGGGTCTCCTCTCAAAGAGAATGAGAGAGAGACTCCCACGCCCATTGTCCAAGGAATTCATTTTAAATGTTTTCCTTTCCAGGTATGGGTATGCAGCGTTAAAGGCATGGGGAAATTGTTAGTAAACTCATCAGGAATCTTCCTGTCGGTTTCCTGTGGTCTATCTATATGCTGATCAGCCAGATTCCTGTGTCTAGCAGCACAGTAGCAAGCTCTGAAGGCAATCTGGTTTAATATTGAGTCAATGTGTGTAGTTTTCATGCCTCTTTCCTATATTACTAGGATACCTTACGTAATCTTTCAGAATTGCATTGTTCTTGTATATATAGTGAATACTATTATTTACCTCATAAGGTTGTTGTGAAGATTAAACTTACCCAAAGTACCAGGCACAGTGCCTCGTATTTGGCATTTAGTGATAGGCTGCCAGTAAATGATAGATTACTTCAGTTTCTATTAAGGGATTGAGGGGAAGCAGAAAGAGTCAAGGGACCTGGACATATTTTAGAGCACCGTTCAGTTCTAAATTCTGTGACTTTGTCATCTGTTCTTTTTCTTTTCAATACATAGGCAGAGAGCTGGCTCCATGAGCAGGCCCAGAAGGAGGGCTGGAGCAAAGCTGCCAAGCTTCATGGAAGGAAGACTAAAGAAGGCCTGATTGGGTTGCTACAGGAAGGAAGCACGACTGTGTTAGTAGAGGTGAATTGTCCGAATTCTAGATACTAGGAACAGCTATCCCTTCAATATAAGGATTTGTGGTAGACTCTTAAAGAAGAGGTGTTTGAGAGCCACAAAAGGTAGTCGAATTAAACCCTTGAGATCACAGTTATTAGCTGAGGCTTTCTTTAAGTATAGAAATGCACATGTATGTTGACGAGAAAAGGCCTACCTGTCCAGAATGTTACTCCTAAATGTGACTCTAGTGTCGCTTTACACCTTGTCATGGATTCTTTCCTGGAACAGTTAGATTTTAAAGCTAGGAATTATATTAATTAGATGATAGAGAATAGCTGTTTTAGAGGTTTTGGGGGCTACAATTGTTAGAGAATCAGTTATGGGTTAGAGTGAGATTAGGGTAGATGAGAGTTTAGATTGAGAGAATGAGAAAAATAAACTGATAGCAAAAGTGGTTTGTAGTTAGGTAAGCTGGAGAATGAGGTGGTTATGGCATGCAGCCACAGGTAAGTGGCGAATTTATAGTGAGTCCTTTGGGGACATGGAACTATCTTCTGAATGCATAGGTCATTGCTAACTCATGGACACAGTAGGAATCACTTTATTCAATTTCTGGCCTCAAGCTAGGAGAGGAACTGCAGCTTTAAAATTCTGGGGTCATTTATTTCTCTTTTGAATCTCCAGTTTTTTTCTATCAAGACTTTGGTTTACTCTTCAACCTTAAAGTACTTTTGGAAACTATCAATAAACAGCTTTTACAGCAACATCAATTTGTTCCTACAGGTAAACTGTGAGACAGATTTTGTTTCCAGAAATCTAAAATTTCAACAGTTGGTCCAGCAAGTAGCCCTTGGAACCATATTGCATTGCCAGAGCCTAAAAAGTCAACTCTCCACGTATAGTAAAGTGAGTCTCCAATACGTTGTTTCCAACATGCTGGATTTGTTCCCCGCCGTCCCATTTAGGGTCTTTTCTGTTCTCTTGTTTTCAGACATTTTCATGTTTCACTCCCTTACTTTTTTCTCTGCTTAAATGCTATCTCTTTGGAGAGGCATACCTTTCCTTCTATGGTTCTGTCCCCGTATTTTACTTCATTAAAAAATGTTTTGTTATAGTGTTTATATATTATATTTTTATTTGTTAATATGTTGTCTGTCTTCCCTGATGGAACACAAGCTTCATGTCTTTACACTGCTGAGTCTCTGATTAAAGAGAAGTGGGTCCAGCATTTGGTTGAGACTCAGTAAATCTATATTGAATGAATGAATGAATGAATGAATGCCAGTGGAGTGGAGTCAGTCAAATCAGGTGCAGATTTGTATTAACAAATCTAGACTGGCCTGAGGAAAGGATTCCTTAATAAAGATATTAGAGAAGGCATAATTTAGGAGGCTAGCATATTTTTGTCCATAGAAGGATTAAGGAAGGAATTATATCCGTTTACCTTCAATTCAACCTTATTGTCAAGGCAAAAATGAAGCAATTACTTACACTTTTTTTGTGTGTGTTTTTCTCTTCCTGTTTATCTTTTGAGGTCTCCCGTGGTGAATGTTGTTACTAGCATTAAATAGCCATATTATATGGAAAACTATGTTGAGATTAATTTTAGATTGTATTTAGTAGATGAGTCACTTAAACTAGAAATTCTAATCTTGACTTTGGCCTTAACTCTATTTGTAACCTGGAACCATTCGCTTACTTTACTGTGCTTCTGTTTCATTATCTTTAACTTTGGTTCCTTTTAGCTTTATTTCTTTTTTTTCCTCCTTTTGGTCTGTAGTTTAACTTTTATTTTGAGAAAAATTCAAACTTACAGAAAAGTTGCTAGTAAACTACTGTAAACTACAGTGGGCTTTTATCCAGAGTCACTATTTATTAATATTTTGCCTTATTTACTTTATCAGTTTTTGTATACATATTATTACAATTATTTTTATCCTTTTATGAATATGATGCAAACATCAGGACCCTTTATCCCTTTAGCTTGTATCTCCTAAAAAAGAGGACATTCTCATATAACCACAGTACAGTAATCACATTCAGGAATTTTCACATTGCTAAAACTTTTTAATTTACATGCTATACAATGCATATTCATATTTTGCCAACATACATTTTTTTCTTTTGATCCAGGATCCAATCCAGTATCATGTGTTGCGTTTAGTTGTCATGTCTGTTTAGTCTCCTTTCTTTGTCTCTCAGCCTCGTTGTCTTTCATTACATTGACATTTTTTTTTAATTCTCCCCCCTCCTACTTCCACTCCTGACCTACGGATGTTGCCGTCGCCGCTTAAGAACTGGATCTCTGAAGGCGGGGCATCTCCTCTCATGTGCTCTCGGCACATACCGGGGCCTGGCACACCCAGGGGGCCTAGTGCACCCGGAATATGGCCTGTGGCTCCAATGGGGCTCGAACCCAGGTCCTTCTGTATGTAAAGCAGACGTGCTAACCACTATTCTATGGAATCACCCTATATTGACATTTTTGAAGAGTACAGGACAGTTTTGTAGAATGTCATTCAAGTTGGGTTTGTGTGATGTTTCTTCATAATTAGAATATGGATTTTGTAGGAATAGTAAATTATCCTGTATTTTCCTTAGAACATCACATCAGGAGGCACATAATAACTGTTGGTCCCATTATTGATGTTAATTTTAATCTCTTGGTTAAGGCAGTATCTGTCAAGTTTTTCCACTGTAAAGTTACCATGTTCCTCTTTGTAATTAACAGATAATCTGGATGGGAGATTCTTTGAGATTGTGTAAACGTCAAGTTCCCCCCAAAATTTTGCCTAATGGTTTCAGCATCCATCAATGATTCTTGGCAGGATCCGTTATTTCTACAATATTTGCAAAATGGTTATTTTTCTCTCATAATTTAAAAAAATATATTAGTTTTATTAGTTGACTTTTTTATTTAGTGATTTATTTAGTACCAACATCGACTTATGGATTCTTATTTCATACAGTAAGTTACAGTTCATTGTATAATCCATTGTTCATTTTGATACTCAAATTATCCCCGGTTTTGGCTAGTGCAGGCGAGCCTGTATAAGCTGGCTCCATTGTCCTTTGATATATCCTCATTATTTTCTGAGTATTTCTTTACTTTTTGGCATATAAGATATTCTGGACTCATACTTTCCTTGCCCCAACCATGGAATTGTTTATTTCTCTAAGGAATTATGATCCTTTTTAGTGGGGGAATGGTTTTCAGAAACCAAGATTTGGGCATTAGGTATGCTTATTTCTATTAAGATGTCATTGCTGCTCCGCTCTTTTAGAGAGAGTGTATGTGTGTGTGCGTGTGTGTGTTTCAGTTCTAGTCCTACACCACAGGGTTCTTCTTTTTTTTCCCCATTCTATCTTTATCTTCCTTCTCTCATAGTAAGTACACTAGCTCCTAACAACTTTAGTATGTTTATACTTATTTAGCCAATATTACAATACACATTAAATTGTTTCAGAGTTACTATACCCTATGGCTGCAAATAACAAACCTACTAAGGAGTTCAAGGTTTCTTTGATGTTCTTTTGTTTTTATATTGAAGTAATGTCAAAGGACTGTACTGGAAGTTACTTGGATTAGTTTTTTTATCCCTTCTGTGAGGTTTTGTTACTTATTTGAAATACAGTTAGAGTTTATGCTTCTGTTTAGTCAATTTTCATTTTCACCCTGAATCCTTGTTAATTTAATTTTTGAATGTGTAACATATTAGCAAGGTTCTGAAAGTTAAAACTATAGTAGACACACACAAGCCTTACTCCCTTTTTTCTCCCTTCTACCCCATTTCCTATTCACTCCTGTGCATAACCAACTTCATTGGTTTCTGCTTATCCTTTATGTCATTTTGCAAAAATAAGCATACTATATAAATATTTCTTTTTTTATGTTCTGTAGAATTTTTAGAAATTTTATTTTTACTTAATTTTATTTTTTTATTTTTTATATAGACATTTCTTACACAAGTGGTGGTATAATTTGTACATATTCTTTTAATTTGCTTTTTTTTTTCACTTAATAATATATTCTGGAAATTATAACAGCTCATGGAGCTCACCTGTTTTCTTTTTTCCAGCTGCATAGTATTCCACTGTATGGCTGGCTGTGCTATGATTTATTCAACCAGTCCTCTCTTATGTTTGGGCATTTAGGCTCTTTATAATATTTTACAGTTAGAAAATGCATAGCTTTGTGCATGTGTATGCTCATATTGTTGCAAGTGTATTGTCAGGATAAATTCCTAGAAATAGGATAATAGGGTCAAAGGTTAAAAATATATGTAGTTTTGTTAGCTATTGTCCAATTCCCCTCCTTTGGATTTGTACCATTTTGCATTCCTACCAATAATCTGCAAACCTTTTTAGCTTTAAATTTTTATGACTGTGTGAAATATTGTTCCTGATTTTAGGAAACTACATTCTAAGAAGTTAGGCCAGAGGATAGGAGTGGGGTGGAATTGGGGGTGGTGTAGTGATAGAATAATCATTTTCCAAGAAATAGTTTTTTTTTTTGTTTTTTGATAATTTGAATATTACAGAACTGATTTATGTTTTGTGTTTGTGTGTGTGTGTGTGCACGCGCGTGTGTGTGCACTTAGGGCTTTTTGAATTCCTCTGAGCTCTCTGAACTTCCTGCTGGGCCTGAGAGAGAAGGCTGTCTCAAGGATCAGCTGGCCTTAGCAATTGGTAAGTATTTGTAAGAATTCCGGAAACTGGAAATTAAGAACTGGATCTTGTAGTATCTTTAGTATTCCTCCAAATCTAGATCAAGAATTGTAAGCTCATGCGCCTACAAGGGTCATGTAATATGAATGTGCGAAGTGGGTTGTGTGTTAGATATTAGGAAACAGTAGGACTCTGAAAAGCTCATACTTTGCTGAAGTGAATGAACTATTACTAAGCTCTATCCAGTTGTTAACTTGGGGAAAATTGGGTTCCAGTGTTGTCAGAATTTTTAAATTCCTTTGAAAGAATTTAGATTTGTATTAAAAAAATCTCAGTTTTTGGCTGTTTGTAACTAATCAAAAATATTTCAACACTCTGCAGATGTCACTGCAGATATCTGTTGACCAAACAAAGCATGTCATTAGGCAGAGATAGCATTTTAACTTTCAGCTGACTGCTACTCTGTACACTATAGAGGAAACAGTATATCAAAGGTCATTTCACCTTCTTTATAAAGGGTCCAGGAAAATTTAGGGGCATCTTTTTTAGGAATTTAACCTTTTATAAACATCTGATCCTGAATTTGTGAAGGTACAGTCTTTCAGATCCCACTGGCTATAGGAACCATATCTGGATTATTGTGGTGGGACTAGTGGGGATTTTGCCTTCTTCCTGTATGTCCTTGATGGGGCGGGGAGGAGTAAGCCTGAGGTTTAAGTTTGCTGGGAATTTATTGCTCATTTGATTTTTCCAGTCAAGGCATCAATTTTAAGTTTTTATCAGATCATCTTGAAGTATGTATAATGTTTCAGTGAGTCATGGATGTGAAACCAGACAGCCAGCTGTGTATGGGACTTATTAAGAAATTCTGGAAGAACTGGGTGTTTTAGCCTTGTCAGTTTCTCAGAATTATCTGTTGGGTAGATGCTTTGAGCTGTTTTTAAGCTTCTTTCTGGTTTCTGGATACTCCACTTTTAGACATAACCATGGCTAATGCAGGGATATTTATCTAGACCCCTTTGTTTATTCTCCTACCCATTCCTGCCTTTTGGCTTATTTGGACTTCTGTTAGTGGGGAGAGCATCCCAAGGGAAAGGGGAAAGCTAGAATTCGTTCTCATAAACACCTACGAAAATTTGACCTTTTTGGGGGGGGGAATGAGAGGAAGTTGAAGCCATCAGATGTCATGAGATTTTGGATTTTCTGGGGCTTTTTAGTTGTGGACTTTTCCCTGATAACAGTGGATGATCAGGAGTTGTCTTTGTCAGTTGTGGTATTTGGGAGAAACTAATTTGGTGGTGAAAAACAATTGCATTGGAGTCAGATGTGAGTATTAATTCTGGCTTTGCCACGTATTAGCTATGTAACCTTACACAGGTTACTTAAGCTGTCTAAGCCAAAGTTTAATAATAATAACCAGCATTTGAGTGCTCATTATGTGCCAAATACTGTAATAAATGCTTTTACATATATTATTTGTTTCTTCTAATAACCCTGCTTTCAGGTTATTGTAAGCGGTATCATCTGCATTTTACAGATGAAGAAATTAAGGCTTGATAAATTAGTAAATGGGGTTATACCATTAAGTCATATGCCTCAGATCATATTGTTTGTAAGAGACAGAGCTGAGACCTGAGTCCAGAGTCTGTGTGACAACATAGCCTATGTTTTTAAACATAGTGTGCCTGGCACGTACTTGGTGCTGCATAAAGGTACTCTCCATTCCCCTTGCGCATACCTTTGACTCTGTAAATTGAAAATAATATTTCCTTCTTATAGCATATCTACAGTGTAAATGCAGAGGACTGTCTCCCAAACTTGGCCACTTCTGTGCATATTTTGGAACTACCAAAGGCATCATATTCTGGAAGGATGTTTTTTGTTTTTGCTTTTTTATAGGGAAACTGGGAGAAAACATGATTCTTAAACGAGCTGCATGGGTGAAGGTGCCAGCTGGGTTCTATGTTGGCTCTTATGTCCATGGAGCAACACACAGTCCCTCGCTCCACAACCTGGTGCTGGGGAAATATGGGGCCCTGGTCATCTGCGAGACGTCTGAGCAGACAGCAAACCTCGAAGACCTTGGTCGCCGCCTTGGGCAGCACGTGGTGGGCATGGCCCCACTCTCTGTTGGCTCCCTGGACGATGAGCCTGGAGGCGAGGCCGAAACCAAGATGCTGTCCCAACCATACTTGCTGGATCCCTCTATCACGTTGGGACAGTATGTGCAGCCCCAGGGGGTATCTGTAGTAGACTTTGTGCGATTTGAATGTGGAGAAGGAGAAGAGGCAGCAGAGGCTGAATAGACTCCAGAGACTTGGCCCAGGAGGAAATGTTTATTCTTAGTTCTGGACATTATTATAAAAAGTTATTTCCTAAGCCTCTTCAAACCCAGAATGTTTTTTATTTGAGTTTGTAATGAAATTATACTTCAAGGATAAAGTTATTAAATAACATTGTTACATAATAAAGAGTAGTCTTTTTTCTTGTTTGCGTAATGCTAGGTTTAGCTTTTTTGTGTATTTCTTGTGACACATTTTAGAAAACAACAGGTGGGCCTAATTGAAGTGACTGACAGAGTCTGAGAGAACAGGCATCAACAGTTGTGCTGCTTCTCCTTTCAACATAGATTTATTATGGTGTCCTTAATAATTCTAACTCATTCTATCGTTTTTCTCCTATGACATGGAACTCTCTTGTTTTGTTTTTGCTTTGTGATGCTTTGGACTATGCTTCCACCCTGGAACTTCCCAGTTATATCACTCCTGCCACGTGGATTTCTTTGGAATTGTTGACTCAAACAGAGTTGTCTGGAAAATGTGGTTCATTTGTTGATGTCTGTAGTATGCTCTGAAGGCTCTCTGCAGTGGTATACACACTGGTCTGGCCTCATTACTGAAATTAATAACACATGGCCCTATTTCTCTTTTGGATAATGGGGTGTGGATGGGTGTGGATTGAGGTTTCCTGGACAGCTGTAAGGCAGATTTTGGCATTCTTGTGCCAGAAACAGGAATTACAGTGCTTCAGTTATCCAGAGAGCTCGCTCAGCAGTGTCTCTTTACTTCCCTGGTACTGGGATATTTCTCCCAATATAACATCAAATAATTACTATAACAAGCAAACCCACAATACTGAAAAGAACTCTCATTTGCTCATACAGGTATCTTTATTTGAAAAGTTAAAAAGCTAGGCACATACAGATCTGGGCATTTGGATTTTGGCTTTGGGGTATACATGTGATTAAATTCAGTGATTTGTGGGTTAAATAGGTTTTGGATATACTGATTTTAAAATTTAAAACAAACTTAGGTCCTTGCCTTAATATTAAACATTTTAAACTGAGTGGGTTTTTTCGTTCTCTTATTTTTGACTTCTCCAGATTCATGTAGTTTTAGTACTTTCTGCTGAGGCTTTAGCTAGAAGGCCACAAGAATCAAAAAGTGGGTAGTTAATATTTTAGGTATATAACAACTGAGGAATTCAAGGATGAGAAAAATGGAGAACATGCTGTGATTTGCAGACCCTTTTTAATCTAAATTAAGTAGCTGGATGTTAGGCAACAATTGATAAATTCTTGATATTGGCACTGTCTGCTCTCTTCTGTGGTCTTTCAATAGGCGTATATACTTTCTTGCCTTAAAAGAGTCCCTTTTCTTTCTTCATTTGGAGCTGTTTCCAGCCAGGCAGAGCAGCAAATTGCCCTCTTGTGATGCCAAACACAGAAATAAAGTCCTGTTCAGTGAGGTAATTCTGAGAGAGAAAACACAATTTCCAGTTAGAAGGAAGACATGGCATCTACCAATGCCAACAGAGTTTGGGAGAATGGGGCCAAGAGAAGTAGGTCCTTGAAAGGGAAGTAGAATGAATTTTCAGAAAGTCTGTAATAGACTTAAGTTATTCACTGGAGAATTCTTCAGGTTGTAGAGTCCCATCTTGGCCCATGGAAGAACTGAGAGGATTCACTGCTCTCACAGTTCCATCTGGCACTAGTTTCTTGCCAAAAGGACAAGAAATAGGCTATATATTACATATGAATTCTAGACAGGTTTGGCTAAATTGAGAACTAAATCAAATGATGGTTCCTTGCTTTATGCCCTTTTCTGCCATTTTAATCCAGACATTTTCAAATACAAAATCAGATGGATCTTGAGAGCATAAAATTTTCCTAACATTTATTTATTGATACTTAATGAATATTTTCTTTCCAAGTAAAATGATTGAGATATGGCCTCCATTTTCAAGAAAGTTGTAGTTCAGATACTTAAGAGTTGGTTAGATAAGACATTGGAAAATCCAGAGACCCCTTCCCAAATCAGATCCTTCAGGGCGAAAATAAATTCATTCATTCAACATGAATATGTTGATTCATTCAACCAAAACTTAAGAAGTGCCTACTATCTGCCAGGCACTGTTTTAGGTGCTGAAAAGCTGAGAATATGATGAACAAGACAGACAAGGTCCTTGCTCTTAAGGGTATATTACTAGAGGGGGAACTAGACAATAAACAAGTATAAGGGGACTGGAGGGGGTGCAGGAAGCAGTGTTAGGGCCATCAGGGAAGGCCTTCCTGGAGAGGTGACATTGGAGCTGAGACCTAAATAATGAGAAGGAATTGGCTCTGTAATGATCTGGGAGAATGATTTTTCAGGCAGGAGCAATAGCAAGTGTAAAGGCTCAAAGGCTGAACTGAGCATGTTCGAGGAACAGAAAAGCAGCCACTGGCTGAAGGGGGCTACGCAAAGAGGGTAGTGGTATGTGAGATGAAATCAGACAGAGAGGTAGGGGTCAGATTGGATAGGGCCTTGCAGGCTGTGGAAAGGACTTTGGATTCTTCACCAAGTGCAGTGGGAAGCCATTCAAGGTGTTTTAAATAGAAGTGTCATCTGTTTTAAAAGCCCATTTGTTGTTATGTGGGGAACAGGTCGTAGGGAACAGAGGTGGAAACCAGTTGAAGGACTATTGCAGTAGTCCACGATGGTTGGACCAGACTGGCAGCAGAGAGATGGAGAGAATTGGACAGAAGCTAGCTGATAGATTGATGTGGGAGGTGAGAAGAAAGAATCAAGAAAGGAGCCTTGAGTTTTTAGCTTGAGCTACTGGGTAGCTCAAACATCTGTTGAGTGCTTAACAATGTTCCGGAACTGTCCTAGGCCATATACTGAGATGGGTGCTTTACTCATGGAGAGCTCCACTTACATCAGACAGTTCCTCCAGCTACTCACCTCTTTTTTGGCAGGGTCCACATCCTCAGGCAGCTCTTGATTCTGGTTTTTCAACAGAACTTCTATAGGGTAATATTTTGGCTCAGAATTCAGGGAGAGGGTTGTGTTCCTCATGTCCTAGGTAAGATGACAACACAGATGCAGGATAAAAGACTGTTCGTGTTTGTGCAATTGAAGTTCTGTGTGTATAATATTTAACATTTTGGTTTATACCCTTCACCCTTTAAGAACAGTGGTCCCCAAACCTGGCTGCATGTCAGAATCTAAAATATTCAGCTTTTGGAGGCCTTCTTGGGAAAGCTGATCTAGTAAGTCTAAGGTAAATCCTGTGTAGCTGGTTTGGCATAAATGCTGTCCTTAAATCTCATTTAAATATTGTGATCACATCCCTTCTCTTGGCACTTTTATTTAGGCTCTACATTTCCAGCCCTTAAATGACTTCAAATTGAAGTCATACTTTTCCTAAATACATTCTAAAGATGCTACATCACCATTAGCTTTGGAATCTTGAGTTTGTACAGCACAAAGGACAAAATTGCCTGATGGTTTGGACCACCTGGTGCCATGTGCTCATCCTGATTTTAACTTGCTTTTGGATTCTTGGCCAGAGGCTCCACTTCTTTTAGCCATTAAAATAGGGGTAATGGCCTGAGTTTCTGTGGACTCTACTATCGGAAACTGATAAACATATCATTTAGGTTAGAAGCTTATTATTTTTGAAAAATGCTGCCAGTAAATTTAATCCACCCTGAGTGACAGAGTTGAATAATAAAATTACTTTTTGTTTTTGTTAGTTTTTTTTTAAGACAGCAAGTTCCTTCTAAATTTTGGAAGGCAGTAAAATAAGGAACTTGACTCAGACTTGCTTTTCTACTGATTAAAACAATCCTCATATCAGAAAAGACCACTAGAATAAGAAGGACATGATGGGGTTTTGCCCATGTGGCATCTGTAACATTTGCTGTTTCTCTCTGGCTCTGGTCGACTGTGTTACTTCTCCTCCAAGAAACGCACAGCAGTGATTCTCGTGATTGCAGCAGCGTCTCCCAGCTCTTCTTTTAACTGTTCATATGATTTCCCTGCCTGAAAAGAAGAGAGAAAAAACACAGGATGAGGTGCTGCACATAGCAGAGGGCCATCTCAGGCCTTGTCTGTGCCCTCGAGAGAAGCAAAAAAGCCAGGGACTCAGAAGATATTTCGAGAATGAGCAAAAATGAAAATCCCCCCTTCTGGGCCCATGCAGGATTGGAAGATATGTAAACATGATCTGCATTCTTTGCTGGCAGTCCCTCAATCTTCTATACAAGACTTAAGACAGAGCAAATTGACTGGGAGTTGGAAAACCTAGCTTCTCCTAGTGGTTAATTGTGACTTTAGACAAATAATTTCCCTTCTAAGCTTCCTCCTTTATAACATGGGAAACAAAGTTTACCCTAGCTATCAGAATGGTTGTAAAGCTCAAAAAGATGATGTGTGTGGATATACTTTCTAAACATTATTACTTCTCCATGCTGCTTATTCCTGAGACAAGCTGTGAATTCTTTAACCTGACTTCATGCTGTGGTGGGTGGGAAAGAGAAGAAAAGTAAGCAGGGAGGGGAGAGGACTGCGGGGCATGTGGTCCTGGGTTTACTTAGCCCTCGAGTACCCCTCCTTCCCACTGAGCTATTAATGCTGATGTCCCTGGCAGTAAGAATGTCTGCCCCATCCCCACTGTTCTTACGCTCCAAATGCGAGAGTCCCAGGCCAAGAACCAGCCTGTGAAGGTGGGAGGCTCGAACCCCTGTTTAATAATCAGGATCGGTGTGTCAGCGTCTCGGCCACTCGGATGAGTGTGCAGGTACTCCTGGGCGGTAGCTAGAGCACTTTCCTTCTCTGTGACATTGGCCTCAGCCCCAATCCACAAGAACACCTGTTGTGGTAGAGATTGAATGTTTGTTAATTCTCTCATACCAGGGACTAAGCGGTAGGTCATAAGCACTGCCCGATTTTCCCCCTCAGCAATTCACAGCCTCAGCAAAAAAAAGCTTTACTCAATATCATCTTGATTTGTGATTTTAATTGCCATGTGTTTCTCCCATATCTACACCTCCAGTCCTGAGCTCTCTGAACTTCAGCTTCCTGAATCCAACTTCATGTAAAACACCTCCTCTTAGCTGTCTTTAAGTACCTCAAATCTAACACCCCCAAAATGTAGCTCTTCTTTTCTAAACTTGTGTCTGTCTCCATTCTTGATGAATGGCATCCACCCCATGGTTCCTAAGGCAGTAACCTGGGAGTCATCCTAGATGCCCCTCATGTCCAGTGATGTCACCAAGGCCAGCCAGTTTACCTCCTATGCATTTTGACAAATCTGTCACCATCTCTCCATCCCTACTCCGTCCCTCTATCTCTAGTCCACTTCCTTTGTGGGCCTACTGGACTATTAACAATAGCCTACTGAGCGGCCTCCCAGTATAGTCTTCTTTTGTTCTCACCTGCATCCCTCCTCTCCTACACTTGCTAGAGTGCTCTATCTAAAGCAATGGTCGCCAACCTTTTTGGCTCCAGGGACTGGTGTTCCTATGAAAATCCAATGCCCGATGATTTGAGGTGGAGCTGAGGCGGTGATGCGAACACTGAGGAGTGGCTACAAATACAGATGAAGCTTTACTCACTCACCCACTGCTCTCTTCCTGCCGTGCAGCCCGGTTCCTAATAGGCCACGGACCACTATGGACCCTGATCTAAAGCACAGTCTGACCTTGTCACTCACCTATTTAAATTTTAGTAGCTCTCCAGGATAAATTTCAAACTTGACGTGGTAGGTAAGGTCCATATCCACCACTTCTGCTCCATCTCTACGATGTTCTTTAACTCTCTATTTTATGTTCTGATAATATTATTTATAGTTCCCTGTATACTCAACTCTTTCATGCCTTGCCTTTTACTTGTGCTATTTCCTTTGCCTGGAATGCCCTCTTTACCTGATTAATGCCTACTTATCCTTTGAGATTTAGTCTGGGAGCCATCTCCTCCAGGAAGTTGTCTCTGAGCCCCTAAACCATGTGAGTGCCCCTAATTGTGCTCCCATGGCACCACATATATATCTCCATCATAGTAAAATGATGTTTCTATGTCTTGTCCCCACCCTACCTCCCATTAGCCTGTAAAGTCTGAGAGCAGGATGGGCCTTTTCACCTAGGTGACACCACACCTAGCACGGCGACTAGAACAGAGGAGGTGCTGAGTATTTTTTCTGAGCCAAATTGAAGAAAATGGGATATCACAGAGGAGCTGCTTTGATGATACCCCTTTCTCACCCCTTCATTCCCTAAAAGACCCATATCTCTCAGTGTGGAGCCTGCCGCTATTGATCCCAAGGGAAAGAAGTACATGGTGATAGGATGGCCTGATTTTCCTGGAGCAAGGTGGGAAAATTCCCAGGAAGATGAGTTTTAAACAACAATCTCTTCTCTCTAATCCTGGCAAAAAACAGGCTCTTTCCTTGGTCACCATGGACAATTGCTTGATTGACTTGGGGATGGTCCAGGGCTACCATGGGTTAATCCTGGCGGGGGAGGTACTACACAAAAATAACTGAAACTATGAGGATCTTTGTCATTTATTCCAAGCACTCTGGCTATGTCTTACCTGGTCCCAGGTATCCAGGAGCATCACATCACCTGGGTTCAGGTCATCCTGGGTGAAATCTGTGATCTCAGTGACAATGAATTGGCCAGTCTTATTGGAACATTCAAAGAGACGGGACTGAACATCTAAGATTTCCTGCTGTAGCCTGCAATACATTTAGAGGAACTGAGCTGCTTAGAAATCATGTGCAGTTCACAAACCTGTGAGGCAGGGGGAGCCAAAAGGAGGGGATGCTGTTAGTCCCATACCTTTTGTCATTGGCATAGGGAGTTTTCCCTCCCAGTAAGTCCCAGAACTCTGCTGGCTCCTGGCCCTCAGCCACAGCATCCTCGGTGCCATTGCAGAGAAGCCTGGCCAGCTCCTTAGCCATTGCCCGTTCATCCCCACTAGACCCCTGCAGGTAGGGTGAGGAGAACACATGTTAGTCACACATGAACACATTGATGTGGAAAAAAACCTTGAGACCAATAACTCAGTGTAGCCAGGATCAGCTTCCCAGCCATGGTACCTCAGGACAGGGAGAGATAGGCGTGTGTTTGTGCTGGGAAGGGGTGAGGGGAGGAAAACACGGGTGGCAAAGAACAGGACTAGACTCTGAAATGCACAATGGATGTTAACAGGAGTCACTTTTATTTTTGCTTCAGTTGGAATTTTAGCAGCTACTTTTGATTTTTTTTTTTTTTTTAAGAAAAAATTTAAACTTATTTTTACAATTAAATACAGGATTATTCACTCTTTTGGGCATATATTTCTATGAGTCTTGACAAATGCATAGAATCATATTACCACTTCCACAACAAAGAATCAGAACATTACCTTGACCCTTTGAGGTCAAACCCTTCTGAATCCTTAATCTCTGGCAACTACTACCCTCTTCTGCATCATGATAGTTTTGCCTTTTCCAGAAGGTCATAAATGGAATCATACACTATGTAGCCTTTGAGTCTGCTTCTTTCACTTAGTGTAATGCACTGGAGAGTCACCCTTTTTGTATCAACAGCTTGTCCTTTGTGTTGCTGAGTGGTATTCCATGGTATGGATGTACCACTGCTCGTTTATCCATTCTCCAGCTGAGTTGCTTCCAGTCGGTGCTTATGAATAAAGGTGCTATAAACATTCATGTGCATGTTTTTGTGTGAAGATAGTTTATTTCACATGGGTAAATACCCAGGGGTGGGATTGCTGGATCATACGGTAAGTGTATGTTTTATAAGAAACTGTCCAATTGATTTTCAAAGGCCGTATTTGTATTCCCACCAGCAATATGTGAGAGTTCCTGTTGCCCTGCATCCTCATCTGCACTTAATAGGTGTGTAGTGGTATCTCATTAGGTTCTCATTTGCATTTCCCTAATGACTAATGATGTTGAGCACCTTTTCCTGTTCAATTCTCTTTTGTAAAACAATTTCGGTACTTTTTAATTCAGATGCAATCTGAATTGACAAAATCACATTTTTAGTGTTCTTGTTCAGTGGTAATGCCTGTCCTATTACAATCCACCAAACTGGTGTGGAAAGATCGACTTATTCAGCCTCCATCCATTTATTTATGAAGTTTATGGAGTGTCTCCTGGGTGTGAGCAGTGCTGTCATTGACTTTATAATTGGAGGCCTAAATCATGGGAAATGTGGGCGGTCCTTTTGAAGATCTTTTAGGAAAAAGGCTCCTCTTTTTGTGGACTGCTCCAGCCTACCCTTTAGTTCTTTTACCCTTGCTGACAAGAGGGTGGGCACAAGGCCTAACCATCCTACCTTGCCATACCACAGGTAGTGCTCTGTTTGGGTCTGCAGCAGAAAGACATCATTGGAGTTTAAGGAGGAGGTGAAGGCTGGAACCTCCACTGCTTTAGTGTTTGATTTGTCATTTCCTTGAATCTGGAAGAGCCTTACCGGAGGATCGGGTTCGGCATTTCCCTTCCTGGAAGTCCCACCCTAGAGAGAAGGAGAAGACCATAGTCTAGATCTAAGGTGCAGCATGTGAGCAGAGCACTGGGCTAGCTGTTGTGGGGAACATGGATGTACTTGTCACTGTCTTTGCCCTTGAGGAGCTTGTAGGCTTACTGGGAGAGGTGAGTTGAGTTGGAGTTATGATACCAATAATGTAAGCTTTCATTCTGAGACCTCTGCTAAATGCCAGGCTCTGTGGCTACTGCCTGATCTACATCATTTCATTGATCATCCAAGTAACCCTGTGAAGTAGTATTATGATCCCACAGTACAGATGGGGAAACAGGCTAAGAAACCCAGTTAATAAATGGCAAGACTAGGATGTGACCACAGACTTGTGTGTATCAAGCATGTGACATTGCACATTTTTGGCAGTGCTTCAGCCAGGGCCTCATGGAAGAAGTAGGACTTGAATTTGAAAGGGCACATTCGGTGGCGGGGTGGGCAGGGAATGATACAGCACGTGTGAGGTCTAGTGAAGAGACACACCTAACCAGAGTGGAGTGTGTAGGTTAGGGAGCTGAGGGTAATGCACATTCACAGGTAATATGGGTCAGGTTATGGAAGTTGTTGAACATGAATTAGGCAGTGGTTTGGACTTGAAGCCCTGGGCAGTTGGTATTCACTTCAGTATTTTAGATTAACCCCCTCTTGACAATGTCTACCCTGCTTCCCATTCCTCTCCTCCAGTGTAGCCCCTGCTGGCTTGTTAGTTCTGAGCATT